GCCCGCCCCCGGCGCGCCGGGGACAACGCGGACGGCGAAAGCTGCCTTGTCTTTTAAATGCAACGTATACACGTTAAACCCCGCCATATGTGCGCACAGCTCTTATGAAAGCGACAGAAAAGGAGAAAGATACTCTGCGGTTGCAGCGAGCCCCGTTACTGTCCCCGTGCCAGGGTCTGGAGAGCGTGTTTGTAAGGCAATGGGAATAAAATGCTGTAATTCGGTTTGTTTTCAGAAATAATTTGAGGTCGTGACTTTGAAAACGCCTATTCCACAGCCAGAGGCGGCTCAGTTAGACATTGACCGTGCAGTTACGGGTCAGTTACGTGAGCCCAGCAAGCTGCCGCGTCCCAGCGGGGAGCGGGTAACGGGACCGGCGTCCGCTCCTTTCCATCTGTGAGGTGGAAACGCTACCGTAAACCTCAGCGTAACCTTGGTTTATACCCCCGTCCTTAGCGCGTGCGAGCACCTGGCTGATTCGGAGGTGGCGCGTAGGCGATTGCGCGCAGGGGACCGGCGTTTTCCTCGTCCGCCTTCCTGTCGAGGTGCTGAGCGCAGAGAGGCATCGGGACCCGTCTCCGCATGCGACAGCCGAAATGAAGAAACGAAGGCTTGGCTGGAGCAGGCACAGCGGGCTCTGCCCAGCTGGCTGGATGGGGGCTGCCTGCCTCCACCAGATCGTCACCTGAAGTAGAAGCTTCCCGTTGGGTTTCTTGTTTGACGTTTTGGCTTGACGTTTGTAGCTCTCTGAAGTCAAGTGGGTTTTTTGGTTGCTTTCCTTCTTTGTAAGCGGCCATGTCGTATGTAATACTTCGGAGGAGTAGAGATAGCAGAAAGGATGCAGAATGATGGTGCGCAAGGTACCTCTCGTGAGGATTCATGGTTTGGGGTCTCAATAGCTGCTTGGTGAGCACCCAGCTCGGTGTTCTCTGTTGTGTGTCTCCTCCTCTGCAGTGTGGTCCCGTGTTTACACCTGCACCAGCAAGAGTGATGACAGTGACTGGAGGACTCCTGTACCCTTCCTGACTGGTATTTTTTCTAGCATGCATAGAGAAGGATGTCAGAAAACTAATTTTAGTCTTAAGTAGATGAATGTAGGCTGTTTAATTAATTTAGGTAGTAAAACAAAACTTTTAGCGTAAAAGCTGCCCACCAAAGACTTCTTGTATGTGTTGAAAAAAAAGGAAAAAAGCAAACTTGACAATTTATAAACTTTGAAAATAGTTACTCTTAATACATCTGGCACGCTACAGCAGAAACTTAACGAAAAAATACTGTATTGTGCCAACATTTTTTTCCCCTATTTGACGCAATGCCTTGACTAAGTTAACTTTTTAGTGTCTGCTTTAGCTAGAGATGTTATTTAAATTTAGAGTGCTCCAGACTCGGTTCTGTATCAGGCGGGCACAGACAGCACTTAGGTTGGCCTCTGGGCGATAGGGGCTGTTCTTCCTTCCCCACTCTCCCAGTAATGCAGTACTGAGGGATGAGGGCAGGCTGCTAATTGAGATTGTCCCTCCAAATGGCTATTTTGAAAGTTTCAGTAACTGGGTACTTGGATATGATATGCTCAGTGACCTCAATACCTGCTTATACTGTTTTTTTCCCTGTCTCAAGACAATTTTTCCCTATTTCAGCTTTTTTTTTTTTTTTTTTAAGCAAGCATGAGGACTACTGCATGTCATTTAAAGCATTAACAAGCTTCAATTTTTTTTTTTTCTGTTCTGAGCACCAATATAAGAACTTGCAATACACCCACCCCAGCTTAGTCCCTTTGCCCAGTGCCGAAGTGCTAGTACCAAAGGCGCTGACTGGGTGCCTTCGTGCTTTTTCGCTGCAGTTGTTGCCCGAGGGATTTTCTGTGTTTTTCTGCCTCTCTGGTTCTACAGTTTGTTTATAAATCATTGCTATTTTAACTGTCCAGGGATCTAGCCAAATTCCATATGATAATGAGAAAAACATAGAGCTTTTTTTCCTTTTTCTTATTGAAAACATTTGGTATACCACTGAGATTAATAGCCTTCTGGAAAGTTTTCCGTGGTGTGCCGTATTTCTTTCCTGCAACAGAGAAGTAACAATGTTATGGTCAGTCATTTTTAACATCTACACAAGTTGCTTGGTTTGAAAAGCGTACCTCTACCCCAAGTTGCTGATTCTTATTTTAAAACTTCCCATATGAGGTTATGTCTTTTTCGGGTTTTTTGTTTGTTTGTTTTTCCCCACTGTCTTTAGTCTCTGGGAGCTTCAGGAGGTCACTGCATGGTACTGGTGTGTTAAGCTATTGCTGCTCTGTGTTTTTAATGTTCCCTTTTGCATGCTTGAGTAGGCAGGCGATACGCAATGGTAGCAGCAGTGGATTTTGGAAGGTAATGTCCTCAGACCTGTGAAGGTTAAATGTGCTCAGCTTGCTCCCGTTACATATGCTGGCGCGCTTAGCTCCTTGTGGGACTGCTAAGCTTCTTCGTTTACGATTATGAGGCTTTAGTGTGGCTTAAGGAAAGACTATAGGGAGTACCCAGAATGAGGGGAGAAGATGTGCTTAGCAAACGTGGCCTAGCTGAGGTTCAGAACAAATATAGAGAGTGTTCCTTGATTTTCAGATTTATATTTTTTTTTTTTTTTTTTTTATGTTTCAGGATTTTCCAGAGCATTGCAGCATGATGCTCCCTGTGAGAATTTCCAAGAGCAGAAACAGACTTAAATAATTTTTAGTGACTTGAGAGAAATCGAGAAGAGCGGAGGATTGGTGTGATATTTGAGTCTGAGATTTGTGATGAGAAATTCCTTGATGCTGTTTCATAAACTTTCTCACATTTTTTGCTTAGGTTATTTAGAAGTTGCTATTTGTGAAATGGAATATAAACCAGTCTTTTGCTTAAATATATAAGGAAAATATACTTGGTAGCAAATGATTATTTAGACGGAAGCAAAGAATGATTGCCTATACAATAGACAATATTTCAGCACAATTTTTTCAGTATTTATTTCAAGCAGATATCTGTACTGACTATTACACTGTTCAAATTAGTGCCTGTACCCTGCATCCACGTGAAATTTGGAAGACATGCAACCAGTCGAGAGCCTGTTTTTCTTTTGCTTTGTGTAACTTGGTGTTCAAGTGCTTGAGTATGCGAGCGTTTTCTTTCAGTTGGTCTGCTGTTGGCTAGAAAAATGTTACTTATGCCAGTAAAAACAAACAAAACAGCTCTTGTAGTTTGGGGTTTTTATGTAGGTAATTTTAATTCACAGACAAGATTTTACAGGTGAAATATAAAGACATGTAGCAAGTTCGTGATGCTGGCAGCCCTACTTTGATTTCGAACTGATTCCCCTTTTCTTTTGACTGTTTCATGGGATACCTTTGATTGGAATCAATAACAGATAGTGTACTGATATTTGAATCAATGGTTACTGTTGTTTGGGTCGCTGAGGCTTACGTTGCTGCTGTTATTCTGTTGCCTGCTGCATAAAGTACTGTGTTTTGCTCGGTTCATTTTTACTTCATTATTTGGTCGTCTTGTTCTGTGTTCATCAATTCAGCATCCTGTAACGCTGATGGTATTTTTGCAGGAGTGAGGTTTAGGTCTTGATGTTAGCACCTAACAGGCTTGCATTTGGTTTTAAATCCACATGTTCTAGTTAGACCAGTATGGCTGCTAAGCATAAAACGGTGTGTATATGCATGCGTACAAAAACCTGTTCAAAATATTCTTATTAATATATTCTCTATTAGGGATTAGTGTTTTAATTGGCTTTCTGTGGTAGTAAAAGTTCTTGTGCAAATGCAGTTATTCCAAGAAATGCAGTTATGTTGTGTAGGAAAAACGTTACAAACGCAAACTGCAAAGCATTCATAAAACTCTGATTGATACCTTCAGAGTACTTAGGGTCCTAATTTTAGTGTCCACAATGATTCACTGCACTTGTAAGAGGAAATTAGCTGTGTATAGGCTTTAAATAACTTATAAATTTTCTTAAAATTTTTCCTGGTATTATTTTTCTTCCTCAGAATGCATTTTGGGCCGTTGTCTAATTTGGTATGAGATACTTACATAAATACTTTCTATATTTTAATTTAGGTCACGATATGCTCCCAACAATTGGTATTTGCAAAAGCTTAAAAAAGCCCTGCCAAGATCAGCAGTTGCTCAGTTGACATCTTGGTGACGTGAACGCTCTGTGGAAAGCTGTAGGAGCGTTGCATCTGCCTGCAGCCCACTTCTCTCTTGGTTACCTTCAGATTCTGTTACTGAAATGTTCAGTGATGGGTAGAAGTTACTCTTGCACGTTAAAAATAAGCATTCATATTTTGTTTAATTCATATACACAAATCAGAAAGCTTAGGCCAGGTAGCCAGTTTTTGGGTCAAAACCCTAAACACGGTATACTAAGTGCCGTGGCCCTTTTGCTTAGAAGAATCTTGTTAGAAAGCACGTGGTTTAATAGTGTCCTGACCACATAGTGTGTTCACAGCTAGGTGGTCCCCTCTGGTCATTGCAACATCCAAAACACGGCATATGTTTGGAAAGTTGATGCAGACTGATAGGAAATCCGTGGTCTCTGTGGCCAGGCTGTTGAGCACAGTCTCCAGCTGATCTAACAGCATGTTGCTGCTCAGAGGCACCTTCCTATCCGTGATCTGCTGCTTTTCTTGTGCTGACACCGCTAATCAGGTGTAGCATAAAGTCTCCTAAGTGCTTCTGGCGAGGTGCAATCTATTCATGGAAGGATAGGAAAGATGAATTGAAGCCAGTGGAAGAGAGGGGTTGGGACTACACAGCTGGGAGGGTGAGGTGAGGAGAGAGCGTGTCCTCTGCCCCATCTGCCCTCAGTGAGCTGTTATGTTAGATGAGTGGATGTAGAACTGTGGTCCTGGGTGTGCTTTATCACATTTGGCCACCTTAGTGCAGTATCTCGTGTGCAGTAAGTATAATCAGTAGTTAAGAAGGCAGCTATTTTCCAACTGGCCAGTGTATTACCTTCTTGCAATAAGCAAGAGACAGTATAAGTAAGCAGAAAACAAAAGTGGAAATTGGAAACTAGTATGGAAAAGACATTTTCTTTCTGGTACTGTTTTTAGAGGAGAG